TGTTGGCACAGAACCTCCCGGCCCATCAAGCACAACACCATAGAAGCTACCACATTGAGGTGGTGCAAATCAGCAAGTTTAATGGCCTCGTTCCAGAAATCATCTCTCTGATTGAATACAAAATCTACAACATAGGGACCATGCAAGTGAGGTATTAATAATAAAAAATTAATAGCCTTTTGGAAACTAGTGCAATGAAAAGACAAATCATTTATTCTTCCATAACCCAATTCTCTCAGCTCTTCCCACACCCTGACAGACCCAATCCCATATTTTCATTAATACAAATAATTGATTAATACAAATCAAATTAGAAATTTCAAAACCTAATTGATTAATTGACATCTTACAAAGCAGAGTAAGACAACAAAACAAAAACAAAAACTGGGTATGATTCAAGAATTGAAACAAACCTTAGTTCTAAGAGGGTGGGATTGAATCATTGAAGTGGTATGAGCTATTTTCTCCAAGCCCCATTGAGTATCTCAAACATGGTTTTGCAGCTGCGAATTAAGAGGAAGATCCAAGAGGCACAACTGGGTTTTCGAAGAAGGAAGAGATGAGGTCAACAACTTGGAGGTGCTGAGGCTAATAATGAGATCTGGCGGCTGCTTCGCTTGGGTTTTTTTTTCAGATTAGGTTTGAGTTTTAGTTGTAGAGAAGAGAAGAGAGAGGCTTCGAATGTGAGTGTAGTGGAGGGTTTTCTTGGTTTTGTTATGTTTTTGGGGTCCAATTAGGTGTGAAAGGGTACATAATATGCCTTTCTACTAACCAATTGTTGTTTGACACATGTATATTAAATAAAATTAATATTAAATGGAGTTATATCGGTTCGGTTTGGTTTAGGACAGTTTCAAAAACACTCAAACCGCAGCCGAACCAAACCAACCCGGTTCGGATCGGTTTTTCAAACTGTTGACTTTTTCGTTGGTCAAAACCAAACCAAACCAAACCAATATAATCGGTTCGGCCGGTGTAATCGGATCGGCCGGATTGATGCCCACCCCT